AAGTAAGGAAAAGACACATGAAAAACAAAGCACCACTTCACATCATCACACAAGGTAATTTGTTGAAATTGATCTCACTCCAAAAATACCAAATAAAATTATTTAATAGTAGTTCTAAAACAAAAATCTTAAATGTGCCATACCAAACATAATTTTTCGCACAGTCACACAATTTTGTGCTACAGTTTTTCCTGCTTGGGGTCATTAAAAAAATGATTCAACCAATTCCAGTCAACGGAAAATGTTTTCACAATAAATATATCATAAACACTACAAGTGAAGAAGGAAAAAAATATTTAAAACTCTCCAAAATCAACAATTATATAACAATTTAACACTTAAAAGTAACCAAACATCATCTTTTTGTGTATGCTTCTTATACTCACTAAACAGACATGAGAAAAGTGGTAGTCAATGTTTAATACTGTTTGTATGTACCAGTAGGTTACAGAGTAAAGCATTAGGTTTATAATTTGCTATTTGTTTCTAGTGGTGTTGAGATAAGTATTTCCAGAGCAATCCTTTTAACAACACGGGCTGCTTTTATCTTTGTACCCACTAACCATGCTACATCTCCACATGTAGCTCAGTCACTCAGTCACATACACTCTTCTAAAAGGGCTGAAAAAACCCCGCTTTAGATAATCTAATCGACTACTAGTGTCAGATCCTCAGTGTTATCATACAGCAGTTTTTCACAGTGTTGGCAAAATGCTAGTGTCTCTACATAAACCTTCCCAGTGCTTTGTTGTCCTTGTGATGTGTGAGTAATCACCTCAGACAGTTTGAGGCAAGAACAAGCACCGACAGCGTACTGAAAACTTCTGAAATGTGCTGATGGCTGTGGCGCAGAGTGAATTCACATCCCTCTGAGCACCAAACAACACTGGTGTTGTGTAATCCCTGTGTTCTTCTGTGGCGTTTCTAACACTCACTTCAGGCTAAAATATGTACAGCAACCGAGCGCTTAACACTCAAGTGTCTGTTGCCATCTGGTGGCCGGAGCACGTCACTGATTGGCACAGATTTCAAAGCGTCACACTTAATTTCCAATTACACTGAAAAGTGTACAATTGTGAAAGACTTAAACAGACTGAATTGCCATTTTGTTTCACATCATTATTATCAAATCTAACAAAATTGTTGAAAACCATACGTAGATGGAGAACTCGTTACCTTACAGATCAATCACATTCTTTCATTATAAACTGCATTTGCATCCAGCAGCATAGTTCAGTCTTTGCAACAGAAAGACCCTTTTTCCTTTCCTTTTTTTATAATGTCAAACTGTAAATTTGACATCAGTTTGATATTATTATTGGCTGCAAAGGGGATGACTAGATGTGATTTCCGCTGAACTACACGGAACAAGGCAATCTTTGATCAGCTGTCATGAGGTGTAGAACCTTAAACTTCATGTTACATTTCTGGATTTCTGTTTCTTTGAATAGATAGAGACTGTGACTTGTCATCACGTTTTTGAGTCTATTTTTGTAAATGGACAAGCTCAAACATGTTTTAAAATAGAACATGTACCTCGTATAATTCAGAATTAACGTAGATCAAAAGCCATCTAAACTTTAAATGTGTATTTGACTCAAAAAGCAGTAATCTCATGAGTCGCTAGCCAGTTTTTTCCTTTCAGTCCCAACTAGTAGGACGCTCTCAGAAATCCCTGGAGAACATTTCCCTACTGCTCATTTTTGGAAGGACTTGAAATAAGACCAAGAGTTGGATTAGCTTTAACTCCTACTGTTCTATCATCACAACACACCGTGGAAAAATGATGATGCTTTGGACAGGGAGAGCCTGACTGGAAACTAAATCTGGTTAAAATAAGAAAAAATGTACGTTCATCATTTCAGCAGAAGACTTATTTCACTAGAGACTGATGCAGGCAGGATATAGAGTATCAGCATCTTCTTGTGGAGGATGGGTATTTGGTTTTCAGGCCCTCTTTGAAGCTGCGAAACAGAACCCGGTTGTGTTTGTTCTCCTCGTCTTTCTTGGCATGGAACTCCCCCTGGATCTTGAAGCCCCGGTGCACCACGAAGGCTGAGCTCAGCACAGAGAACCTGTATCCGGCCACATGGAGCTCGCAGGCCTGGATGGAGACGGGAGGAGAGGGTGAGAAGGCAGACATAAAGTGGGAAGTGATGAGAGGGAAAGGAGAGGAGGTGAGAAGGGAGGTGAGAAGAAAGGTGACAGCAAGGAGGAAAGATTATTTTCTCAGACTTCAGGGAGCTTTCTTCAGAGCCACATGAAAATGTTCTCATTTACTCAATTTAGTCAGTTGAATGAAGAGATTTAAAAGGATAAGGCTGGAAACAGTACATTTTTATTGTTATCAACTACTTTTCTTATTATTATTGTTAGAAACCACTGAGACTTTTTTCATGGGGTTTGTTGACGGTAACAAAAATACAGATTAATACCAGGCCTATCGTTGATTTCAAAGGACCATGTAACACAGGTTAATCCCCAACTACTGGAAGTAATCCATTAATTTACAGCTCAAAAACAACATAAAATGTACATCTGATTCTAATTTTACATTAAGGATGGCCAGTTGTTCAGGACAAGGTTGTGAGAGAGTTTCTGGACTTATTGGTTCTGCATTTCATATTTAAAAGAGGAGGCAATTGGAGCAATTATAGTACTCACCTGGCTGATGCGATTGAAGCCATATTGCTTGAAGTTCTCGTCATAGAGGGGCACAGTGCGGGGCCCGATGTAGAAAGGCTCCCAGGGGTCCATCCAGGTGAGAGTGTAGGCAACTTCCAGGGTGCTTGTCCCTCTAACGTGGCTGTTAACCCACTGTGAGTAGTTGGTGGGGGCCTGACAGCGAGGACACAGCTCTTCATAAAACGGCCGGACCTCACCTACCTGGTAGAGCTGAACCAACTCTGCCTTGCTGGCAGGCATCTTCCTGGCATGACGGATCTCGAAAGCAGGTAACACAAAAACCTCGTCACTCCCTGGATCTCGGCTCATGATCATCGCCAGGAACTGCTGGTGCAGGTCAGCGCTTGGCATCATGTCCATGTCAATGACCAGGATGTAGGAGGACTCTGTGCCACCACGGGCAACATTACGAAGAAGGTTGTTTGGGTAGGAGACGTTTCCACTGATGGCATAGTTCTTGTATTTATCCCTGTGGGTCTCCAGTCTGGTGAACACAGAGGGGCAGTCCTCAAGCCCTGCGAAATGCTCACGGTCCTGTTCAGGGAAACTGGCCATCTCTCCTGAGAGGCAGACCAAGTGGAAGTCCACCAGGGCTTGGATCTGAGGGCAGAAGAAGCTGAGGGCATAGACCAGAGCCGTGGCAAACTTGACATCTTGCCCATGTGCGAATATGGCCACAGAGAGAGGGTTTTGCCACCTTTCCAGAAGAGATTCCAGGTGATGCAGGTTGTTGATGGTCGTGTGTGTGGCTAAAGCCAGGACATTGGAGCTGGGGTCGGATCCTGGTTTCTGATTTGTGGTGAAATCACTTTTGATCAAGTTCTTGTACACCCGGTACTGACCACTGTTGTCGAAGATCCCACCGGTAGACAGAGAGTACCTCAGACGCTCCTTCCGCGTGTTTTTCTCTTGGTGCCCATTTTTCTTGGCTCCAGAGCTCCCAAACAGCTCAGAATATCGGTACCGCTGCTGCTTACCGTGAAACTTGGATAAAAAGGACAGGTATATGAGCTGCAGCAGCGCCACTATCAGCAGAGCACTCAGCACCACTTTGAAGGCGGAACATTTCTTGGAGAGATGCATTCCAGAGAGACTGTGAACTGGCCGATTAGTGTACACAAAGCAGGTCCAAACACCGGAGCAGGCTGCTGTTGCCTTGAGGGCTTGCTACGTCTGTCCAAGCGTCCCAGCTAACGTTACCTACATTGCTACCACGGTGCTAACACTACAGCCTGTTAGGCTGGAAATGCAACGAATACCCGACGGCATATTTTGCTGGTTAGTGGCAACGCTGCCCCAGGTGTTCATATAGCTATCGACAGCGCGAATAAAAGGACGAGACGAATCCAGTTTCTTTGATCGCCATCAAAACACAGTTGTTATCATTCTGCGCTGCTGCTGCTGCTGCTGCTGCGACAGCGGCGCATGTCGATGTGTAATAACCGTAATGTCTAGAGTAAAGGCGCCGGTGAATGTGGTCTTGAAGCACTGCTAGGTGGCTAGCTGTTAGCAAACCTGACTGACTTGAAAATGAAGGGCTGTTTTCATGTCTGAGGTTTTCATGAGAACATTACACATAAACAAAATATTCATGACTATTGATATGATATATCAATAAAAATCTGTCTGCTGACTGAGTGCAGTCCATAAGACGAGGTGGCCGAGTGGTTAAGGCGATGGACTGCTAATCCATTGTGCTCTGCACGCGTGGGTTCGAATCCCATCCTCGTCGGTGACTTTATTTTGCTCTAATTGCTTATACAGCCATGGTTTTATCCGAACCTTTAAGCAACTCTCCCCTATAATTTACAAAAATACATTACGTTATTTTTTTTCCAGATTCATGTTTAATTTGAATTAAAACATACTCAAGCTATCCAAAACACAGGCCAAAAATAGATGTGTCAGCAGCATTTTAAAAAAAATCTTCAGGATGGGACCCTTAATCTCCCACAAAACCACAGATGTGAATTATGCCTGTGCAAGTGTAAGGTGAGGTTGTGTCTACACAGAGAAGAAGCAGTGGTATTATGAAAATATCTGTTAGACCTTCATTATGATCCACTAGTGCCGACAGAGGAATCTGGGAGCAAGAAAGACGGAAATCAATCAACCCCATTTTTGACTTGACTGCCGTGCTGTTTGCAGTCCACTGGTCACACGGTTACATTTGTGTAATCTAAATATGAAATCTACCAAACCTGCATGATTCTTGCTTTAATGGGTTTCAGTCCTGATAAAGGTTAGAGGTGACACTACGAACAGTATGTATATCTGAAGTCTACAAGATTGATTAAAGACACCACACAACAAAGCGCAATTGTGACATTCTTTAATTGATGATCATTAACAAAAACATTTTTGCCCTAACAACTACATGAACAGTGTGACAGTACCCATCAGGTCCTAGGAGGCATTTCCTTGATTTAGACTGTTAACAATTTAATTTAACCATTCCAAGCTCAAGCATGCGCTACAGATCAAAAAGAATACAACACATTATGTTGTGTTTTTAATGACAGGACTTTATTATTAAGGTGTGCTGTAGCATTCCCTGGTCACATCACTGTTTTGAGCTTTAGTAACTACTGAATACAAACTGACCTCACATCAGTATTATGTATACAAACCAGCAGCCTTTCAATGCATGGCTTATGTTTGAAGACGCACATAAAATGTGTCACAGAGGGAAGGTGAATAAAGCTGACAAGATTCATTTTGATCTACAGGGACATGTTTACAGTATAATCTCTAACACATATTGGCAAATGCCTTCCAGGACCAGTTCTGCCTTGACAAGGGTGACTTTCAACCTACTTTAGGGGCCTATGAAATCAGCTTTTATGTGTTCACATTTTTAAGTTGTTAGTCCAAAATCTTAAGTTTACAAAATGCAAAAGCATGTTTACTCAAAATGCAATGTGATCTAGTTTGTCTTGTATGTTCTAGGTGTTATTAAATTATTTTGAACTACCTAATTATATCTTACATGGGGGAAATTTTTTTTTATCTGAGACAATAAAATAACATTAACTCACTCGTGTGTAAATGAGAGCAAGACTAAAAGGCAGAATTTAATTGTTGAATTTAAGCCACAATATGAAGGCAAATATAAGACAAACAACTCGTATTTTTACACACACTAGCATTCACTCTGAACATACGTAAGCAGAGTACTATGTACACTTTGAATATTGTGTCTGTTGCAAACTACTTCAATGCCAGGTGTATTTAGCAGAAATTTCAATGATCTCCAAATCCAAAGTTTTCCTGTGTAGGGTTCCGTTTTTGAACTTAGATTTTGTGACTCCAACTGTGTTTTCAGTACTGCAGAAATCATAAGGCCCTACTGTAGCCCTTTATTATAAATTATGACACTAAAACACCAGCACCGCTTTTGGACCCGCTTCCCTCGCTGTCCCTGGAGGACGCCGCTGACTGGCCTTGTGCCTCTCCCTCGCCCTCTCCCACCAACCGGATGTTGTAGCGTTCCCTGTACTCTGTGAGTTCCCGTCCTTTCGTCTGCATCTGTGTGTTGATGGACTCGATTATTTTGGAGATCTGTGGGGACAGAAGGAAAGAGAGTGAGAGCTTTTCTACTAAATGAAATTTTAGATTCTTCCCTGAAGTTGTCTCTGGACTTATTTGTATGTTTTAAATGAATACATACTGAAAGAAAGTGCTTGTTATTAGTGGGTTGAAAGGCTACATGTATGCAGCCATTAGACAAAAGTGTTGACCTTACAAGTATGTACTTTAAATTGAAATGTTGTGAAACTTGTGTTCATGTTAACAGCCTCAGTTACCTCGTCAATAGAACAATTCAACGGCACAATGAGCAGGCTTGCTATTCCATTTCACAAGTGAAATTTAAAAATAATTCACTCGTACATTTGTTTTACTTTTCTCATCCATTACCTGTTCTTTGTTGTTTTCCAAGGCCGGTAGAACTTCTTTTACCGTTCTCTCCACCAACACTCCTCCTACTAGACGAAAGCATTTCCTCGAAGGATCCACATCTTTCAGGGTTTCAATTACTAAGCTGAATTGAGAAAACAGAAACATTAATAACCAAAAATTATTCAGTTGAGACATCTTGTTTTCTGGTCTGAAAACTGTCACTCAAAAATCAATTGGAGATTATGCTATATAGTGATTTTATTGTTTTTAACAGTCATTAAAATGAAGGAAAGGAAGAGAATTCAGTGCAGAGGTGGGATCATCAGCTACCAACCTGTGCTCGTTGATCTCCATCTCCAACTCAGCAGCTTTAGAAGCCATACTGCGTTGTTCCTGCCGCATCCTCTGAAATGTTGCCACCACCTGTCACACAAAAACTAGAGTTATAATAATTGGTGGATTCATGTACATATCACTTCAATGTTACAGCTGGTAAAAACAGAACTAATTTGAACAATTTTTAAATTCTACCTTTATACACTACTGGATGGCTCAATCAATAAAAATACATAATTTTTTTATATGTTGGTTATATTTTATATCAGTTTAGCATCAGTTAACAGTAAATGCAGTCCAAATGTAGTGGAGTAGAAGTACCAAGTAAATGTAATTAATTACTTTCCACCACTGTTTTTTTATTGATAAGATATCTATATTTACAAAAGTAGCATTTCGGTTGCAGGAGTTTTGTGTCAGAGTATTCAGTCACTTGAGAAAAGGATCTGAATCCTTGCTTCACTGCTGGTTTAAGACTTGTGTGTCTTCACCTTAGTAAGACAGGGTTGGTGGTCTTCAGTGATAAAAATAGCTTCTCCCACTCCCATCCACCAAACCATACCCATCCCATTAAAGGCACATGCTGTTTAAAATGCGCCTTAACCATATTTATCTGTCTGTCAGAAACATAAACAGGCGATAAACCGTTTTCAAATGCAAATCATATTTAGGGCTTCACTGTGGTAGACTGGTGCAACGTTTTGTGGTGAGAAAGCAGAATGAGAACCGGGTGATGGCGATGGGGAGGCTAACGTTAGCGTAGCCACGCTGGGAGTCAGATAAGCGGTTTTAGCTCCACCTGACACGGCTGAACTACGACGGCAGTGACTCTAGCGACTTAAGCAGACCGAGATGGAGGTGAGGGTACCTGTTCGGCTGAAGGGCCGGACTGTTTTCCTCCGGCGCTGCTGCTAGATTTGCTACCCGTGCTGCTGCTGTTGGCTGCCATCTTGGAAGGGTGTTTCTGAGGAGGACCCCGGCCAGGATGTGTAGAGCTGGTTCATGCGATTGCCTGCGTGCAAATGGAGTCCCGCTTGTAAGGATATTTTCTTGCCTTTTTCCTCGATTGTGAAGACAATCAGTATTTTCTTTTCTTATTTTGTTTCTTGTTTCATATTTTAGGTGGACGGTTGGAGCACAAATAAACTTGTTTTCAAAAGTAATTAAAGTCTTAAAGGAAAAAGAAGATGGTCCACACAGTCAACTGGCAGCTCATTCATTCATCTTTATTACTATTCAGAGATGGGTTGTTTGGTTTTCATTATGTGTTTGTCATATTGGTGAAAATCATTATACTTAAAAGAAAATATAACAGAAATCTGATGTTGAAAATTTTCTAAAATAACATGCAAAACAGTACATCCAAACCATTCTGCACTCTTATCAACCCCAAAGCCTTAAGGAATGTTTTTATTAGTCTGTATGTATGTCTGTAAGTCTGATTTGTTTCTATTTATTTTGCAACGTGTGCCTTATTAAAAACATAAACATAAATACTGCCCAGCAGGTGGCAGTGATGTGCCTTAATGCTTTTCTAGCCACCGAACATTACAGAAGAAGTGTGAAGCCTAAGCCTTCCTGTTGCAGAGGACTGAACTGAACACTGACCCAAACGTTAATATGATACTAACATGGACTAAACAGGGGAGGTGACAAGCGGTCCGGGTTACCTCAGATCAATGTTCACGGTCAGGTGCATTTTGAGATCATCAGCCTGGAGACACAGGATCAGGCTGCAAAACAGGTATGTTTATTATTCTGATATGGGAATATACTTGACAGCTATTAGCTAGCCAAGGGACAAGGAATGTATGATGAAAATCTGAATTTGGATTGTGTTATGTAAATGATTTTGTACAGTTGAGTTTATATCTGTAAAAAGAAAACACTGAGATGGAAGTAGTTCACTGACACTAAAGAAGTGGTTTCGTTTTTGTTTCAAATGTTGCATTTAAATGACACTGACTTAAATGCCCTCATATCCTCACTGTGCTTGCAAAGCTGTACAATCTGATACATTAAATATGTAACAGAAAGACTAGTGCAGTTAATGCTAAACCATGGTTGACATGCTTCCTTGGCATGCAGCTTCTCTACACTGTATAATAACCTCTCCTCTGTGCAGGATGTCCACTGCACCTCACTCAGTGGCTGCAGTGTGTCAGGTGACGGCCACCCCGGATAAAGAGGCCAACTTCTCTGCCTGTAAACAGCTGGTGGAGGACGCCAAGGAGCGAGGGGCCAGCATGGTCTTCCTGCCTGAGGGCTTTGACTACATCGGGTCCAGTCGAGAGGAGACACTGTCACTGTCTGAGAGCCTGACAGGAGACACAATCTCACGATACACTCAGCTAGCTAGGTACACAAACTGTTATTTCCAGGAACATTTTCAGATTTTGTAAAAGTGGATGTAATGGCAAGTGCTAGTGCACATGCATGTCGATGTATAGAAACATTTGTGACATAATTAGTCCATTTATAACTGCCATGTGCGTCAAGTTTTAAAATGTATGTTTACAAAGCCATAATAGAGGAATCAGCAGATCTTTTGTTTATTTGTTCACCCACTGCATTCTGCTACTGTCGAGTGCTTGCTAGATTATATTGTATTTATTTTATTTAATCTGTTAAAGTTTGTCTGTGTTTTAGGTATTTTAATCATCTTTAAAAGCAGCCTTTTACCATAAAAAGTTTGTTCAGTCCTGCTTTCTCTACTGGAAGATATGTTCAATAAGACTGATGGATAAATGCTGGATAAACTACTAGAAAAGAAAATATATTCATGTACATGAGATTAAAAAAAAGCTTCAGACCTAAAAGTGTTTTGCCTGCAGGTCCTTGTTAGCTCTGTAACTTTTTAGCTTATGTACAAAGAACTAAACTTTGTGTACAGCAGTAATTGAAACTGTGCAACCATCTTGTGCTCAGTAAGTATTTCACAAGTTTAAACAATGAATCTGTTAAAACTTAAGTGTCCTGCTCTTATAGTCAGATCTTTATATTTAAGTAAAATGTAGTTACCTTGCCACAATTGGCTCTTGTTTAGGATTTTTACAACTTTTCTTCTTCCAGGAAGTTGCAGGTGTGGCTGTCTCTTGGAGGATTTCATGAACGAGGACATGAATGGGAGACTGACAGACGAATCTACAACAGTCACATCATAATTAATGATAAAGGTAGTTTCCATTTAACAATCTGTTTTCCACTCAATGATTCCTTTTACTACACACAAATACATGCATGCAATACTCATTATTATTGACACATTGTTATTACACCCCCAGGTGACATTGTTTCAGTCTATAGGAAGTCCCATTTGTTTGACGTGGAACTGCCAGAAAAAGGTGTATCCCTCAAAGAAAGTGCCTTCACCATCCCTGGACCCTCCCTTATGTCTCCAGTCCAAACTCCCATCGGCAAGGTGCCATTTTATCAGATAATAGCCATCACCTAATAGATAGGTAGATGATTTTTAAAATTTAGATTAACAAAAAAGGTAAAAATATTTGGTGGATAATTATCTTGGATAATTTTTGATATCTTAGAATTTCACATTTCCAGGCATGTCTTGGATCTACTTTGGCCTTCCCAACTGTAGCTTAACATAAGGATCTGTTCATATGTTTGTCTTGATTTTACTATTTTGTTGTTGTTGTTGTTGTTGTTGTTGCCGTAGGTTGGTTTGGGCATCTGCTATGATCTGAGATTCCCTGAGTTATCGCTCGCTCTGCAACGGCATGGGGCTGAGATCCTGACATACCCATCAGCCTTCACTGTAGCAACAGGAGCCGCTCACTGGGAGGTGGGATGAGTCAGAATAACACAGCCAGAATTTCTATAAGATATAAATTTAAGCAAAACAAAGCAAAAAAAATTGCAATAATAGTGTACCTGAAATGTATTTATTCCCAGGTGTTACTCCGTGCACGGGCAATTGAGACCCAGTGCTTCGTAGTGGCGGCAGCACAGGTCGGTCGGCACCACGAGAAGCGCTCGTCGTACGGCCACGCCCTGGCGGTGGATCCCTGGGGCGAGGTGCTGGGTGACTGTGGAGGCGATAATCCAGGCATGATGCTGGTGGAGATCGACCTGGGAAAAGTCAGCAGCACTAGGAGAAACATGCCGGTCCAACAGCACCGTAGAGACACTGGCTTCTACCACAGTCTGGAGAAGACTTGACTACAAGAGAAGTGGAAATGTTAAAAGACAATAGACTAAACAGGACGTGGTCTGTCAGTAATAGATTACAGAGGAGATGAGCTAAATAGGGTATTAAATTTGTGAAGTTGGATTTCAAACACATAACAGGTCTTCTCTTTGTGTCTCAGGTTGTTTTAGGTTTCTGTCATGCTGAATCATGAGCACTTCAAATGCCACGATTAATAATAGATCAAAAGGGAATCATTTTCAGCTTGTTTGATCAAAAACAGCAGACTGAGAGGGTGAAAGCATTAAATTACTGTGTGAAGAAACAAGCATACATTGTTGTCAGGTGAAGCTTTTGTTGATTTTGAAAATTGAAAAAGAAAATTGGTCCAGATCTCCAGCCCAAGTCATCCCACATTAATTTGTAAAGGCAATACTCATACTGATCAATAGATGGCACTTTTGGCCAGTAAGAACTGGAGAAAATGTTGTGATACACAGTTTAATTCTGAAAAATTTTATAGTAATACATTCCTGTTCCAATATACGTTGATGAAGTGATATTGAAGAGGTGTGTGAAAAATCACTTGCAGTTTTTTGCAGTATTGTTTGAAATATTATTGTGCTGAAAGGTTAAGTCATGTTATAAACTCATAAATCTGAAAAGTATCTCTTGGTCTCTCTTCTTTTATCCAATACAATGAAACATTCATTTTTATTTTTTTTATTTCGCTCAATGGTTACATACAGTATGAGATCTGAATGTATATATTTGATATGCAAAATGATAAACAAAAAACTGTTTTGTCATCGTCATGTTTAAATAGAAAAGTGCTATCCACAAACTGTTGCCACAACATTGGAAGCAATACTGTCTAAAATATCATTACAGGTTTTAGCATAAATATTTTCTTTTATTTAATAATAAAAGAGTAAAGAACCAAAAATAGTCCTTCAATCAAAAATGTGTTTCTCGTCATGTTTTATTTGCTTTTTTAGCAAAGTGCTTTACGTGCTGAAAAACCACAAATAAGTCTCATAAGGAAGAATCATTTCACTCCACACTAATTTCTGAATGTCACACACCGACACACACGATTAGAGCTGCATTTAACAATTTTTTATCGGATTAATCTGTCCATGATTTTCTTGAATAATTGATTACCTGTTCAATTACTCAGAACTTTTCAGAACCACATCTCACAGTCTCCCTCAGACTGATTTCTCCTTTCGTCTAAAAGCCAAAGATTCTCATTTTTGCAGTAATATAAACTGGAGAAAAGCTGCAAACCCTCACATTTGAGGAAAGTGTTCATGCTTGATAAATGTCTACTATGATTAATCGATCATCAAAATTGCCGACCAATCGACCACTTGTTTTAGCACCACACAGGACCATAAAGTAGCACTGGTTTTCATTTCTAGTGAGTGACTCCACTGTCTTTAATCCTGGCTGTTTGATTGCAGCAAGGGTGGGATGATTTATTGATGAGATGTTCTCCTTTCTGCCTGTTTCTCTGTCACAGAGACTGAGGAGGAGCAGGAGGGGGCCGCTGCTGCTGCTGTTGGTGCTGCTGCTGCTGCTGCTGCTGGTGGTGGTGGTGGTGGTGCTGCTGCTGCTGCTGGGATGGGAAACAGGAAGTGACCATCACTGACACAGGAATGGGACTGAAAACAGAAAACACCATCATGATGAGGAGAATGTCAAATCCACTCGTGTGGTAGGAAACTAAATCCTCCCTTCAACTCAGGAAAAGGATGAATTGTTGTGTCCGGGCTGGAATTGAGGCATCAGGAAGGTAACGTTGCTCTGCTTTTTCCTTTTTTTTCTTTTTCTTTTTTAAATTTTTAATTCCCCCCCCCCAATCACCCGTTAGGTCGGTTAACCTAGCTCTCTGCGCTGGAGAATGGAGATGTGTGTGTTTCACCATCCGAGGCCATCCATCCTCCTATCGCTGTCAAATTTCGGGAAGTCTACAGGATGATTTCACGTCCCTGTCTCTGCCACAAACAGGTGCTAAGCTAGCTTGTAGCTCAGTCTGCGTGAATTCACTGGAAACTCGCTGCTAGCTTGTGTGCACGTCTGAATATATTGATTTGAGGCTGTTTTTTTTTTTTGGTTGTTATTTTTGACGTTTTTGTGGACCCAGGCCCTCGACTGCAGCTAAGAGAAACTGAGGCTGCACGATCCGACAGCTGCACGCAAACACTCCTCCCCGTGATGTGCTTTTTCCACGGGCATTTTCACCATGTAATGCAGATGTAACGTTAATGCGTGCACGGCTAGCTGCTGAGCCTGTGTGGAAAAACGGGACTTGTCTGTGCCATGCTGGCTGTGTCATGGTTGTTTTTCAGTGTTAGTATCGAAAATCAAAGTCTTGTGCTTGTAATTGTGCAGGCTGCCTTCTTGACCAGCAATTCAGTCATGTAAATTTATCAGCTAATTGCAAGAATTCCCTCATTTAATGTCATTTCCTAGGGTGTAACTCACTGTCAAAGAAACTGACGGGCGAGCTGTCTCAAAAGTTGGGTCATATATTAGCAATTATACTGGCATTTTTCTAGCATTGAAGTTTCGTTGTCTTAAAGCTCACTACATAACCGCTGTTTTTAGTCAGGTTTGTAAATAACTTGTGAAAATGACAGTTCCTTTCCATCATTATATAGCCCATTGACATTTATTTCTAAGTTTATTCAATGAATAATCAGTTGACAAACAGCAAATTATTAATTATTATTTGAAAATTAATGATTTAAATACTTTTAAGGCAAAGTGGCAAATATACTTGGCCGATTAATCAATACTTAAAACAATTGTTTGTTAAAGCTGCAATGTTTTTTTTTTAAATAAAATTATTATGATGATGTTTAGATGCCATATCTACTCACTCACTCAAATACTCACTTTTGCAAAGCAAGAATGAGCACATGCTTGATGAATGACTTAAACAGTTAATCAAACAATTTATCAATTAGTAGTTAATAGTTGATTGACTAATCTTGTCAGCACAACCAGAAAAGTCCAGGGAGGTCACGGGACTAACTACTGCACATGTCTCTAAAACTGCCTGCGATCATTAGATGTCCATTTTAATATTTATATTATTCCATTTCACATAGTCCCAGTAACCAACCAAGACCAAAAAATAAGCTGTCCTTAACACTAACCTTAGTGTTAATGTTAATCATAAACTTATGTTAATTTTTCGCCACTCTTTCCTTTTCACTCTGTTCAGGTTTTCAATTGTATATTAATGATTTATGATTAGCCATCTGTCCTGTTACAGCAGGATCAGACTCTGGTAGTTTTACTCTTTCCACCCAGTTCTTAGAGACGGGTCAAACCAAAGGCACTGCAGCGTTCTTTATTTAATTTGCTTTGGCCGTTGGTGTAATCAGCACCCCTGATTGTGTTATGTTTGGCTGGAGTGTTTGCTTCCATTGTGTTAAGCATGACCTTAAAGTTTCATTCACAGTCAGACAGTCGCAACATCTCATTTAAGTGTTTATCTCCCTCCCCTCAGGTCACATAGGACCCAGTCTGCAAGATCACCTACCGTTTATGTCTGATATTGTTGATCTGGATGTAGAAGGTCATATTGCACAGACCAGCAAAGATAACTGATGTTTCTAAATCTTGCTAAGTTACAGTCTTGTGGTCACTTCCTTATACATCTTAGCTGAAAACATCAATCTGGTCTTTACACCTCCACAGTGAGATTTCTGTTTTAAAGTGATACCTGCTCAGATCAGTAGCACAGAATTACAGCGAATTAAGATACTTAAATTAACTTGTAATGATGGATGTTCATTATTACAAAATTAAACGTACTAATTTTTTCTGGTAGATATTTTGTCTGGTAGATTTGAATCAAATTCCTTTTTTATTCTAGGATGTATCTACTGCTGTCTCCCAATTAAATTAATATTTGCAGACTGGCGTAGGCTGGGTGAAATTAATAGCTGACAAAGCCTCGTTGATAGTGCACACACACACGCTGAAGGATTTCTTGAATGGCTGTATTTCTTTTATTTTCGCTGCAGGCCATAGCACATGTATTATTCATTTTTCAGCATTCATTTTGAAAAGAAAGAACCTCCTCTGTCTTCAGTCAGGCCCATTGTTTTTTATATGGTAGTATCTCCCGTTGAGACAGCTGCATACGGACTGATAATGCAATTTACGTGATGTGCATTCCAGGTCTTCATCTATCTGTAAGACCCATGCAGAAAAAAACAGAAAAAACATTTACTCTGGAGTTGAAATTCACAGTTTAATGAGGAGTTTTACTTTCTTTTCATACATTACAAACTGAAAATCATTGGATTTTTTTAACTGTTGGTTAGCTAAAACACATAATTTGTGATGGACATTTGTTACGAGTCAGTGAAAAGCTATATAGAATAATTAAGAGATAATATATTTTATTAGTTAAATTTGGCGACTCGCTTTTATCCATAGAGTTTGCATGTTTTTCTCCATAAACTGAATATGTGTGTATTATTGATGACTGAACAGCTTCAGCAGTTTGTCAGTGTTAGTGATACTTGTGATCGGCTCCACATTGTTGAAGTGTCGTTCATTGCGAGGAGAGAAAGCTCCCTGTTGTGTCGGAGCTTCTGCACCGTGAATGTTTTGCTACAAGGCGATCCATATATCGACCGCCCGCTGCCTTTGAAGGATGTGTGTCAACTTATTGGCCCCGTCTATGGAGGAGGTGTGAGCCTGTCGGTTAGAGGGAGCGCAAAACGCTGAATCACATCCCAGCAACGGTCGCCTGGGCAACACCTCCATAGTGACCAGCAGGAGGAAGATAAGGCCCCTCGCTGCTCAACTAGTTGTGTAATATCAGCAGACCCTGCAACGTTTTTGTTCCCTAGCTGTTGATTATACTGCTGTTATCGACCGTCACACACACACTCCTCCCTCTCCTCCCTCTCTTCCGCTCAGCCACGTCTCCAAACTGCAAAATGAAATCTGAGTGGCTGGGTGGAAACTCCTAAATAATCAACAAACTCCAGTCTCCATGGCATAATTGCTGTTTTGATTTCTGTTGCAAACAAGAATGGGAAACATGAACAAGTACGCTGCAGACTGTCATAATTATGGCTATCAAATGTCACCAGCAGAGAGAAATAGGAGGAAAGATGACAAGTCTGATTAAAGCAGACCATCGTTAAGAGGCTCAGCAGCACAGTTCATTTGATATTGGATCTGTCTGCCTGAAAAGATAATTACACACCTTTTAACATGCATTTTTTATTCTCACTCCATTTTGTCCTGGTTAACAGTGCAGCATGAATCAGCACTCCTGTTGTGCTGTTTTCTTAAAATCTCAGAATGATTAAAAAAGCTTTGTTTGAGTCCAAAAGAAATTATGTTGGGGAATTAAGCAGAAAGCAGGTTTAAATTTCACTCCGATACGAAGTCAAATCACAACGACTCTGCATTTAACCGCACGTCAAAGCTCAGTAAACAATGATATCACATGAGCTCACCTAGAAGCTCTCTGCCTCGACACTGACTTTGCATACAAGCTGAATTGAATTTCCAGGCCACGCTGATTTGATATAGCTCAAAGGGAAGTCCTGTCTCATGGTGAATCAGTGTGATTGTTGGCGCAGGAAAAGTTTCTCTTTCCTCTTTTCCTCACAATAAAGAGTTTGTGCCCGGGAGGATTACTCTTCTTCAGTTACCCTGTTGGCGTTTGCCAGAGGCTTTTGTCCATGGCCAGCCTGTAGTTTCACTGTCATAACAATGTGTCAGGACTTATTAGGTAGAGCTGAATGACTCTCACTGCAACAAAACCTCTGAAGTAAAAGGTTTAGTAATGTTGCAACCCGCTTTTAAATGTAAAATAAAATAAGTCAAGACTGGAGTGGTCGATATTAGTCTATTTAAGATATGTGACTGTGTGATATGTGGATCTGTACTGTGTTGCACTTCTGGCCATACACCTAGTGATTTCACAAACACACACTCGGCCTCCTCTTGCTGACTCTATTCACTGGGAAAAAAAGTGGTTTTATTTTCCTGACTGAAACAGTTTCTATAGAAGAGGTGAAATCCTCTCTTCCTAAATCAATTGTGCTGACTTTTGTTTTCCTTTTTTTTTTTTTTTTTTTTCACTTTAAAAGGCCTCATCACACCACAGGGGAAAAAATGAAGAAAGAAAAAAAAAAAATTAAGATCAAGTAGGAAATTGAATCCACTAAGGTTGATATGGAGGGAGCTTAGAAATCCATTATGCTCAGGTCTTTTTTCACAGAGACACAGATGAATATGGAGTCAGCTATCAGACCGTAAAGGATTAGTGAAGATCAGTCAGGCTGCAGCACTGGAGCACATTAAATGTCTTTCTTTATTACTTTGTGACTCATCGTGTCTCTAGGCTGATATTCCTAAAAATATCTGCAGGTTATCTTTAATTTTCCAGTGTCATTGGACTGTCATTGTGCTCAGCCTGGTGGGGGTCATTTTAGGCCAAAAATCTGTCACCGCCTGAGTCACGTTTGTGGTTACACGTTCTGTTGTAGTTTCCAAACTTTTCCACACGGTGGCAAAGTTTGAGAGCAAGTGAAGAGCTTTGTGTCGATGCCGCTCTGCTGTGTTTGGTCCAGCAGCATTGTTATCATAATCATCCTCTCATTGTAGGGAGGACGTCCGTGTGTCGTTTTAATCCCCCCAGTCTATAAATACACCACTTGGCCATGTGAACAGAAATGTTTTTTGTTCATTATGTTATCACTGCCAAATATCTTGATTTAAAATGTATTAAGTTATTGTCTGAAGGGAACAAACAAGTTAAAATGGGAAGCTCACTCCTAGCTACATGCAGTATTGCCAAAGTGCACAATCAGAGATATTTAAATAATTCAACAAATAATTTAAATTTGGTGATTCCAGCAAAGAAATATGTAAATGAAAAATACGAGAAAAGCTCAATTTAAACCCCTAAGTATTAAGTCATTATTAGAAATGTTATTTTCCATATGTGCTGAATTTAATCCTTGCCTGTAGACATATTTCACATTTATGCTTGTGCACTGGCTGAAAGACTGTCCAGGTTACACCAGCAATTAATTGTAGTTGATTAATTGAAAGTATACCAATTCTACACCCTCCTATTTACCCTTAAATTAATACCTAATGACTACAGACCTGTAAAATAAAGCTTTACACATAGATACGATATGGACGTAAGAATGAAAGAATGGAGGCTGTTTCTTAGCTGCGGTATTGACTTTCTGTCAGATGTGACCAAGAATCCAGAGCGAGTGTGAAAAATAATCATTTACAATGGATTTATTGATCGTCTAAAGTCTACAATCAGAGGTCAAATGAGTTTTTCTTCTTCTCCTGGCATCTCGGATCAAAAATATCTATTCTCAATCAATCTTCTTTGCCGCTGGCATGGAGGCTCATGAGTTCAATTCAGCTTCACACGTCATCGTCATACAGCCCCCCCCCCCCCCCCCCCAGTCCACATTCATCTTACAGCTTGGAAATGTAGTTGACTGCTGTATGGCTGATGTATGTCTGTGTGGCTTGTTATTTCTATAAATCAAAATAACACTTGCTCATGAAAAGAAATGAGAAGCAGATTGAAAATATATGTAGGATTTCTTTTTTCAAATATTGACCAAAGGCATTGTTCTTTCGGAGCGTTGTATTGCACTGAGAGGTGAAAATGGCAGGCAAGGAAAAAAGACAAATCTACACACATCAGAAACATAGAGGAAAGGTCAAATTATCTGTGTCATATATAGGAAAATACTTTGTAAAGACTTTGTGGGCACTTCTCACTTACTATTGCTCCTTTGGTTTTCCAGTGCTGGTTGCTTCATCCTCCCAAAAAAAAAAAACAGGACAGAAATGTAATAGATGGATAAAATGAATGAATGTGTTTCACCTTTCAGCTTGTACTGTTAGTTAAGCTTTACAACCAGTTGGTTGTACTTTGGTTTTTGTTGTTTGTGTAAACTGTAAGCTGGTCTGAGGACTAGCTCCGGCGCCCGACTACGTCTGTTGTGTTGTTCAACTAATGACAGTTGATTTTCTGGACTATATCTGTTTGTGTGACTATAACCTCATCCATCACAGCCACACTGTGTACATCTGTGTTTGCTGTTTACCTGTGAGTCAGTATGCACGTTAACAACCTACCCTCCTCATCTCTGTACCCGATAGACTCGCGCCGCCTTGTAGACTCTATAATCTAGCCTCCTCACAACACGGTGTGTATATCTCCACCACTCCCCTCCTCCCTCCTTCCCTCCTTATCATCCAGGGCCCCGGCGTGTTGCTAAATGGAGTCGGAGCAGCTGTACCACAGAGGCTACTGCAGGAACAGCTACAACAGCATCGCCAGCGCCAGCAGCGACGAGGAGCTGCTGGATGGAGCCGGCGTCATCATGGACTTCCACACCACTGAGGACGACAACCTGCTGGATGGAGACGCTGCCTCCCCAGGTAGGGAGAACGGGATACCTCCACATACCTCACCTAGCAGTTTGATTGGTCCCAAATCCGGATCTCTTGAGCTTCCCTTCCTTGATCCAGGCTTGATGACCCCCAGCCCTCACTCTCCAATCAGATAGGATCTTTGCTTGAAGTCTCGCTGATGCCTGCCATCATGCCCTGATCTTTCAGTTGCTGCGCTTCAAGTCCAAAATCGATTATCTTCTGGTTCACGGTTGGCCAGACAAAGCTGACAAAGCAGGGAGCTGCTGCTCTGGTTGTGAATCACCTCACTGCTGATGTCAAGATGCATCAAGTGTGTGTCCGGTTGTGTGTGCTGCTGTCCTGTGACACAGTCGCTCTGCCATCTGCCCCTTCTTCATCTCCATCCACACCCATCAGCTGCTCTACATGCCGCCTTGTCACACCCTTCAGACACCTGCTACCCAGCATCATTCAAGATGATCGTCCTGCTCCCATTTTGACCCGCTGAGCCTCACAAATGGTTATAAACTATTGACTGATATTTAGGTTGAAAATGTATTCGGCTATAGAGAGTCAAAATAACTTGCTGCTTCTCACTGTTTTCATTAGAGCCGGCTCAGGTGACTTCAGTGTGAAACTTAAATCTCACGATAAGAAGCTTTCAACCGCATCTTCCTGTCTTTATGAGTAAAGAGAATTGGCTCAGGAAATCAATAATTCAATGAGATTTTCTGTTCCTCCCAAAATCAAGTAAAAAATAAATTGAGGATCAGCGAAATAGAAATGTAAACGGAAAATTGTTTTCCCATTTTAAAGCTGTGCTGTTGAAATTTGTGAGTTCAGATGACATTAGATTTCTACAGGCATTCATTTACTGTTTTTAATCGCTCTATCTATGCATATTTATTGTTATTTAGAGATCTAATAACTAGACTAATTCATTTGTGAAATCATATTAATCCCTCTTTGTATTTTCCATTTAAATATCAATTAATACGTTGTTTTATAACCATCTTCAAGGCTCTCAAAGGAAATCCAGTTTTTATTAATTATTTTAAGTTGTTTATTTTCAACTAGAGTCATTTGTTTTGTCGTCGTCTTGTCTTGTTGTAGTTGTTGTTCTGTCCACAGTTTTGCCTGCTCCTCTTTCCTGTTTGCTCGTCTGCTTCTATCTTAACACCTTGACCCGATCACCTCTTTGATGTTGTTGTTTCCTGTATCCTGCAGTTTACTTTGTGGTCTCGCTACATCTTCTATGTGTGCTTTGACCTTTCGCACATTGTACCTCCTCCTCTCTGTCTCCTGCCTTACGTAGATTATCCTGTCAGGCAGCAATAAAAGTTTGGTGGTAGTAACAATACAGACACGTGGCAGAGCCTGTTTTTTTTTTTTGTTTGTTTTCCTAAATGCGTCATCGACTGGCTAAATATAGAAGAGGTTAGGTGGGGCATGGTGCGCAAGTGAGACAGAGTGATTTTAGCTTATTAAAATAAACCAGTGATCTATGATGCACTTTTAAAAGAGCAAGTTGTACCATCGTGCTTTCTGCTGAGTTCGATCATTAGCTCATTCCTCGTTAAGACTGCTGCCATGCTTCTGCTCGTTTGGCTGCCATGCTACATGAATATAGTCATACCTGCCATACCAGCGCTGTCACCTGTTTCTCATTCATTCAGCACCCTAGTGGCACCCAGTCTGGTATATCTGGTGTCCCTTCACCACCCGATCTGCTGCATCCTGTTTGTTCTTTCTGGTTTGAGTAAATATGCTGATTCCTCTCTTGTTCCCCCATTTCTTCAGCTTTGACTTGCAGCTCATCAAACAGAAAACACACATGCTGAGGGTTGTGTTAGAGGTGTCGCCTGAACTTGGCTCCCTAAACATGAATGGCTTGTATTTAATTTCAGTGCTTCCATACTGAAATTATTGCTGGTGTGACTTTGTGAGAAATCCCTGCCATCTTTGAATGCAGATAGAGCGCTGAAGCTGGCAAACTAGTGTGTTTATGCTCGGGATAAAAACACTCTGTCCTGTACATACTCTGTTTTAAGTGTTGGCTAAGCAGAGAGGTTATTTTCTGTCGATCTGAATTGGATAATTAGGATTAACCACCTTTTATATGATTCAGTTTAATGTTTTTGGGTTGCTGACAGGGCTTATAATAAACACACAGTACACATAAAATACACGTTTATTTAAAAGACTGTAATGAAAGTAAATTGCACCAGTTGCTTCAAGTTGCCTGATCGCAGCTGTTCCTGTTTTGTTCTGACAAGTCATGTGGACAAGTGTGAATTCTCACATGTTGTTGGAGCTTGAAGGAAAGTGAGGGGCTCACCAGAGCCTCGAGGAATTATCCTCTGGGAAGCTGTTGCAAATTATTTTTGCTGCTTTTGGGATTTGGCATTTTCTCTGCAGTCTTTATGAGTTTTGTATTTCGTCTTTGCCGAATCACTGTATTAACAGAAGTATCAGAGGTTGTGTTTATATACTGTATGTGTGTTTATGTAAGAGGGATTGGCTTACATTTCAGTGTCTCTGGTCTCTGCCTGGTGATTTCCCTCTTATTGTTTTACTGTGAAACTGGACCTCTGGGCAGTTAAACACAAAAGGTGAAAGCACACAGTAACCCTAACCTACCCACACTTACACTGTCATTCCTCCTGCAAATACAGAGCGAGCTGCATCAAGCAGATACACAACACATAAGTGATACTATTATACTGTGGAGATTTGTCTATTGTAATTAACTTCTGTACTGTGTGCGTCACCTACCTGTCTCATCAGTCTTGATTTGTGTGTGACATGCCGCCATGCTCTTACATTCCCATGAACCAGTTTGGCTGCCAGCCGGTGTGAACTAGTGTTTCAGGAAATCTCTGGATGAATGTCACTCCTTGAAGTTGTTGTGCTGCCTGCCTCTGCCTCCCCGTGCTATTTTTACGTAATGGTGAGGGGTGGGTTCACAGGAAAGCTTGTAAAGCCCTCCTCTCGGCTAAGTCTGCAGTGTGAGCAGGGGGCTGGCTCGCTCCGTAGCCCCATGGAGATTTTTGCTGAAACTTTTGTTTGGCTTTGGAAAACTTTGGCTCTTGAACTGAAACGGATTTAGTCTTCTTTCTTTTAACTCACTGGATTACAGAAACTATTAAGACTTTCTGTTTAAAACTTCATATTGTGGTTTTGTTGTTTTTAAGTCCTGACGGGGCTTGTTGAGGAGGGTGATAACAGACTATGGCTGACATCACCTGTGCCACTGCCTAGCGACAGGAGCCCTGCTAAAAGGTAAGGGGTCCTGGGGGTTTAACATATGACAGGCTGTTGTTCTATATATCAGGGTACCAGTGTTTACGCGTGGGAACTGCAAAGGATGTCGAAGGACATGACTTTGTTTCATTGTTTCATATAATAACACATGATTACACCAAGTTTACAAAACACCTTCTGCCTTGAAATACAGTAACTCTGTGACCCCGTTTGGATTTTACCCATGTAATCCGGTTCTGAATCATGTAATGGATGGAAAGTAAGCGGCGTTCCTCTGTGCAAGTCGGTAAATTCTCTCTTGCAATATGTTACATATGCTATGAGATGTCCAGATGATATCTCATGTTGTGGTTTCATATCCTTCTTGAAGAGTCAACACGAGAAAGGAAGATTGAGCAACTGCTCTGTTTCTGATGTTGGAGCCAGTTTTTGCTCACTCTTTCTTGCTGCAGTTCATTTTCTCTTTGCATACTGCAGACAAGGCAATAGCTTCAGTGGAATATATTCAAAAATCACCAAAGTTTACAAGGCAAATTCGCAAATAACTCCCATGGGCAGATATTATTTCTTGTTTTTTGCAGTCACAAAGCTTTCTTTCATTTCATTTGAAGTGATGCTGGGTTGAATCGGAAAAATACTGCTGTAGATGACTTTATCCTTTATCCTTCAGGGCTGCAACTACAGATTCGCAGATCTGCTTTTTGTCATTCCTGATGTCAATTCCTACTTATACGGATATAATTGCTCTCTCCTCTCTTCTGAAATCTTAATACCTCATTGCACTGAGCTCATTGAGATCATATTTACTACAAATGAGCTCAGCAGTAAGGTAACATCAGGCCAGGGGTTACTATGGCAATAACAGCGGCCCGCCATGACTGAATGAATGTAATTTTAGAATGACATTGGCAAAGAAATTATATTTAATATGGTTTGGTCACATCTGGCTGATACCTGATTTGCCTAATAAGATGCACATTGGCCTTAAGGCTGATCCAGTGTATGGCATTGGTGCACCTTTACCTGCAACTAATATGTCATGAGGAAATTTTTGTAAATATTTGTGTTTTGTTCGTATTTGTGGGAGAGATTTGTGGAAAACAGGACGCAAAGCAAAGTGATGCATAGCTGAGACGGGAGGCTCTTTTTTCAGAGGGAAGAATGCAGATGTTTCAGTAGAGTTGAAATGAACATCAGTGCTCAAACTTGTTGTTTTCATGTAGCACACAAGCAGAAAAAGAAAACCCCTGTTTAATGAAGGGAAAAAGTGATGAGAGATTTCACTCAATGGAGGCGAAAACATCAACAATCTCCTCCACCCCAAGTTCTCACACAATGCACTTTGTCGCCATAAAACATTCATCGAGTTTGTTTATGCAGAGATATTTTAACGTTAGTGCTAATGCATTAGTAACATTAGTTGCATAGTAATGATCAATATTTAAGAGCTGGTGATTTAACATGCTATAGCTGATGATGGTAATAATGGTGGTAGTTAGCTAGCTAACTTTAGGAGGTTTAGCATATGTAACATAATGTGTGAGAGAAACACGAGCCGTCTCACAGGAAATAAACTGTGTTTCCTGCACCACAACCTGCTGCTGTTGAAATCGAAGTACTGAGCTGTATTGGATGCCTACAATATTAGTTAATTGTTTTAATCTATTCAGAAGTTCAGTTCGGTTTATAAGAAATGCTGCTAGGATCTCCCTGAACTTTACTTTTCAAAATAAAATGTTGGAATCTGCCCCAAATATCAGCTA